TATGCAAGATGTCAGCCCAGCTGTATATGTGCATGCCCAGGTCAAGTGGGCAGGACCGCTTGGGACCAAATTCGAGGGACATCTAGGAGCAGTCAGCACTGTACATAGAACAGGCTAGCCGATCTCTGCTTTACCCACAACCCATTGGGGCTAAAATCTGTCAGCAGAAGCCCTTAGTGAGATTATCACCAAGGTCAGGTTCATCATCACCATTATCATCATCATTATTGTCATCATCATCATCTTCATATTATTGCCATTGTCACTGCCCTTGTCACCCCAATAGTAAATGCTTGTGGACCAAGGCCCATTCACTGCATTCGCAGACATGGGCTCTTTCTCCTTCTCAACCATTCTGGGAGGCAGGTGAGATTACTACTGCCCACCCTGTTTTTGGAAGAGCCAACCAGAGCTGGGAGGGGTTTTTTCTTTAATGCTTATTTATTTTGAAAGTGTTCTAAATTTAGAAGGAGACAGACAGAGAGATTTTCCATTTGCTGTTCCACTCCTAGATAACCACCGTAGCCAGGGCTGGGCTGGGCTGGGCTAAAGCCAGAGAGCCTGGAGCTTTATCTGAATCTTCCATATGGTACAAGGGTCCAAACACTCCAGCCATCTTCTGCTACTCTTCCCATATGCATTAGCAGGGGGTTGGATGAGAAGGTAAGGCCAAAGCAGTATCATCCCGTTACCTTGCAGTGTGTTACGGAGGACAGCCAGGTAGAGGAGTCACTGCTTAAGGAGTGGGAGGGAATTTTGTTCGAAAGGGTCAGTGGCTGTCTGAAAGATAAGCTAGGGAGACAGGGGAAGGCTTAGTCCACTTCTAAATGACTGGAACCTGCTGCTGCCCTCAGACCCCTCCCTTGGGGCTCTCAGTGACCACTGTGGGACCAGAGCCCTAGTGAGAACACGCTACTTTCCTCTTAGCCAGCCCTTCAAGTCCCAGGGGAAGAGTGGTGGCTGCGCCAAGTCTTTGGCTTTGATAGGGCTGGTGATGACTATGTGACCCCTCTTAAACTCCATGCAGCAACAGAGAGTGTGTTTTGGAAGTCACCTCCAGGCTGGCTCCCGCCTGTCCTCCTTGTAGATTGCACAAACATCCAGGAGATGAAAGACGGGACCTCTCAGAGGCTCAGCACAAAGCTCTTCAAAGAACGCTTTCTATCGAAACCAGGGTGAAGTGCAAGGTGTTTCTTGGGGAGGGATGTATTTATACACCTGGGAGTGTGCGGCCCTTCCACCTCCCCTTCCCTGGTGCTTCTCTCTCTTCAGCAGAACCATCCCTGAGGCTCTGGGAGGCCCTGGGGCTCCTGATGTTTCCTGGTTTTCCAGCTGCTTGGTTTCAGGTTGAGACCCACCCTATCTAGGTGGGGTTGCACCTGCCTGACTTTTTCATCCCTAAAAGTAAAATATCCATGCCTAGACCCCCTGGAGCTCTGCTGTTTTCTGACAAGTCTAGTAAACTGTCATCACCTCCACATCCCTCCCCCACCCCCAGAATCTGCTGACCACCAAGCAAAGTCGGGGGTCCATCAAATTACACTAGACCTCTTGCAGCCTGTCAAAGCTGAGCATGGGGTTTTACAGCGTGGGAAAGAACTTAAAGAGCACTGGGTTGAGCCCTCTCATTTTACAGTTGAGGAGAGCGTTCCTGAGACAGGAGGAACTGACCTGAGGTCATAGTGAATATGGGGCCCCGCTGCAATAGGAGCCGCTCTTCTGATGTCTTGTCCACTACCCTTTTTTTCCCCAGGGATGATGGGGTTCAAGTAGCCAGACAAACATCAAGGGGAACAAGAGATCCCGATTGGGCCTTAATTAGGCCCACACTCCCTGTACTCTGGGCCTCCTATGCCAGCAATCCCTGGTGTTTTCATTTCTGCCGTGCCAGCCCCTTTCTTTATGGGTTTGGTTTCATGGAGCATTATCTCCTCGTCTGAAAGCTGCTTTGGAGCGGAATGTCTTTTTAACTAAGGTAAAAGGAAATGAAGGCGCATCTTTTGGCATGATCTGATTGTGCTGATACCCCAGGGTGCAATGGAGCTGAGGTACATAATCACTCTTCTATACTGAGTCAATTAAACATTAAAAACACCACCACAAAACCGCCACCGTTTCTGATGGCTTCTCACTGCCCTCTCCCCAATCCTTCCCTGCCTCCTCTGCTCCCAACTCACTGGTGACTGGGGACAATGGCAGGCAAGGCAGGGGGTGATGATGAGTTGGCAGTTTTCCCGCAGTCCCAGCTCTGGGAAGTGTCTGTTGGTGAACAGACAGACTAGCCATGTCCCTGTGTATGGCTGTTCTACCACCTGTATTTAGAAAACAGCTCCGATGGTACAGAATACAGACTGTGGTCCACACCTACACTGCTCTTTGTGGGGACATATGGAATTGTTTGGTATAACGTCAATTGTCAGCCAACTTCTGCAGACTTGTGAAATGCTTTTTAAAATTCTAATTCAAAGTTTACCCTTTTTGGAGGACAGCTGGGAGGGTGCAAATGAAGCTTGAAGACAGACACATCTACCTTGGTTCGTTGGTTTGGAGAAAGTACTAGATGTTGTGTTTAGCTCTTGCCCATTGTACCGGTTTTCCTGTTCTTAATCTTCAATGTATCCATACCAACTCTTTTCCCTCTTGCTTCCTCTTCTCAAGTCTTGGGCATCAGTCAGGACAGGCATTGCACCTGCAGGGCCTTTGTGACTGATTCCTGTTGCTTTAAACTGGCAAGGTGCGCTCAAGTCAGTGTCACTGACATTGAAGAGCTGAGGTTGCAAAAGACCCAAGCAATCCTCTAACGAGTTCCCCCGAATGGAGGTGCTAACAAGCTTGTAATCAAACCCCACTCTGTCATCCCAGGGATGATTCACTTGATGGCGGTAATCAGCACTCCCCTGGAGAAACCAGAATGAATCGTTTGCATTTTCCATTTTTTATTAAGGATCTCTTCCATTTGCACATCAGGATCTTTTAAAGATGCCTCACTTTGTGAGGTCCCGAGTTTATTAAGCTTTGCTGGGTCATGTGACTGATTTAGTGGCTGGAACGCAGATTGAGAGTGGAAAACTGGAGTGGAGATGCAGAAGATGCGTAGCTTTGCCAATAAATTTTTTTTCTCATGTACAAATCATAAATTGTCATTTGTGTGAAATGGTGGCCAGTATGTACACCTCCCTATTTTCTTTGTGGTGGTTTGAGAAGTTTGCATGTGTGTGTATGAAAGAGAGAGAGACAGAGAGAGACAGAGAGTGACATGTTGGTGCCATGTAGAACATCTCACCATTCCTCATTTCTTTCTTAATTTTTTCCATCAATAGATCTACTAGCCCTAGAAGAAGGAATTAAAGGAGCCTAGAATGTAACTTTGGGGGCCATTCTGAAGTATAATGCCTAGATTGTAAAAGTGATTTTTAAATCTTAGCATTAGGTTGACTCAAACAGGCAACTTGTTATATGTATGAATTTCTGCCTCCTCCCGTAAGAGGTGGGGTTCTGGGGTGAGATTCAGGAATTTCTATTTCACCTGTTTAGTAGGTGATTTATAGGCAGGCGGCTCAGACTGCATTTTGAGAAGCACTGTTAGAAAATCACTGAAAAAGACCTAACACTGTTGAACTTTCTCTCTCTCTTCTCTGGTTTGTGGAGAGGGCTGGAGAAGGCACGTGTCTGGCCTAGGTTGGTTAGTTTAGGTAGTCCAGAATCTGAAGTTGAACTAAGTGCTAGCTCAGGACTTTCCCAGTGCCCCAGGTGTGCTAGAGCAGACGAGCAGGAGTGGGCTTGCTTCCAACAGCAAGGACTCAAGTTAGAAAAAACTTCCCAACAGTGAAGAGTACTGAGGAATTCAATGATATCTCCTTTCCAGGAGGGCTTAATTCAGGCCAAATATTCATTCAAAGAGGGTACTTGAGACATAATCTGGAAGAGTAAGGAAAGAGCCTCTTCAGAACAAAGTGTCATTATTTTGCATTAAAGGGGCCAGACCTTTCTCATGGTCCTGCTATGGCACCTGCATTCTGAGCTGGACAACAGCGTAAGTGGCCAGTGGTGCCAGGGAATGCAGGGTCTCCCCCACAGATTCATCTAGCACCCCGTTGCCCGAGAGCGTGAGCCTCCCAGACTGCGAGAGACAAACAGACAGACAAGGGTTCTGTCTAAGCAGTTCCAATTTATTGGGGAAATTCAGTTTCTTATATAGGGTAAGGAATAGCCTCAGGCCAGGAATTTCAGGAATTCCAGGAGGGGAGAAACTAGGAGCCAATTACTAGGAGCATAACTGCGGAAGCCACCTCCCATAGGCCAGGGTAGGTGAGTGAAATGGCCCTGGCCAATCAGTCTTTGAAACAACGTGACCCCTGCCCTGGTTCACGCCCAGGGCTCTGTCCTTGGCCGCCATCTTGCTCACCACAGGTAACTCAGTGACCTTGATTGTTAGTTACCATCTTATTGACTTGGTGACCGCTTTGCCCCTGAGCCCCACAAGGGGGGCTTAGTTCCAGCCCCTGCTCGGGTCGGGATAGGCTTTGTGCTGATTGTCTCTATGTTCACATTCTCAGTCTCCATTTCCTTACTCTCAGACAAATGTGATTGCATTAAACTGTTTCTAGTCCCTGTACTTCCAGCACTTTTACCTATTGTCATCTCTGCCCTCCACCAAACTGCCTTATACACCTTAGGTACTTTGTGACATTTTACTGATGCAGGAGTCCACCTACCTGCCATTTCTCCTCTCCCAGGATCCCACCCTTCTACAGCCAGGATCTGTCTCTAGTGGTGGTCCTTGGCTTCAGAATTCTATATCTATTCAGAATGGTCTAATCAAAAATAAGCCTGGGTTATTGTTTCATTATCCATGTCTGTGAGCAGTTTTCCAAATCTGAGATGTGCTGGGTCTGAGGCATCACTCCCTGAGCTGCTCCGCCTGGACAGCCTCTGGTCATGAGTCCCCATGCCTGTCTCACGTGGGCACCCCACTGACCAGCTCTCTCTGCTTCTTTCAGAAAGCGGATCTGGCTGTGGCAGGCCTCACCATCACAGCTGAGCGGGAGAAAGTGATTGATTTCTCTAAGCCATTCATGACTTTGGGAATTAGCATTCTTTACCGAGTTCATATGGTAAGAGACTTATTTTATAAGCATTTATGTCATTACGGTTATTTGCATGCAAACATGGAGTTATATGGTAATAATGAATGACTCACAGAAATATTTAGATTCAAGACTTAAATGCAAATGTACTGGGCTATTTTTTCCCCCCATCAGCTGCAGGAACTTGCAAACAGGAGGGATGATGGGGAGAAAAATCACACTGTGGGCTTTCCAATTATTACTAGTGCCTGACTGAACAGAAGTGGCCAAGGGTGATGGTTCCATGTTTGGTGTGTGTGTATTTTGCCGGTAATTGGCCTCCAGTTGTCAGTCAACTTCCTCTGGGGGGCGCTAAGTCACCCAGGAATCCTCAAGGAGCTCACCAGCTCCCAGGTGCAGGTGTGTGCCTCTGATGCAACAGTGCAGACTTCCTCTCTGGATGGCCCTGGTGACATCAGTGTGGATAATCTGGCTAAACTGAGAGTCCTCTGGTCAGGATGGGTAGACTGCAGATCCACTAAGTTTGCAAGAACACCAAATAGGAAACAGAGAATGACCTTCAAGCATGTTGGCTGCAGGTGGGTGCAGGGAAGAATAACTCTGGAGGTTTCTGATTCATCCAGTGGACCATCATTACACCATAAAGCAGGAGCCACCTTTACCTGATTTACCTTACTAGATCGAAAGAATGTTTTTTTCCTCTTTTCATCCAAACTGGCTGCCAGTGCACAGCTTCACGTGGAATTTCCCAGTGCTCTGGTAATTAGTCACTCTCAGTGTTTATACTTCAGATCCCAGTTCATGATCTGATACCATGAAACAGCCCAATGGGGTGGGGAACCAAGAGTTCACCCACAGGCCTGCCCAGAACGGCTGCCTTGGCAGCCTTGGCCTGTCTCTTGGCCTTGGCAGCTGTCCGCGTCTCAGGGACTGCTGCTCACGTTTCTCCAGGCAACTGGCTAGGCTGCTAGATAAGTGCTGTCCTGTGCTGTGCCAGTCTTGGTGTTCCTCTCCCAGCTTGAGAAAGAAGATGCAGCATCTCAATTGCAAAGTCCCCAGCCTAAGACAGACAGAAGTGTAACGAACTGGTGGCAGCCAGCACTGTCATTAATGTATCTGCATGAATCTGGGCCATCTTCTACTGCTTCCCAGGCACGTTAGCAGAGAGCTCCATCAGAGAAGCTGAGCAGCTGGCACTAAAACCAGCGTTCTCATACAGGATGCTGACAACATATGTGGTAGCTAACTCCCTGTAATACAATGAAATAGCCCCAAGATGCAACCAGTTTAAAAACTAGACATGGTCCACATGCTAACAAGTACAGGAGCAGGGCTTCACCCTGGAATATGTGATTCCTGCCTGGGTTCTCTGTGGTCGCCTCCTTCCACTCTGGTGTATGTAATCTATGAATCCTAGTCCTGTAAAGCACTGCTCCAATCCTTGTTTATTTGGTTCTCTGGAGTGTTGTTTGGGGAAAGAGGGCAGATTTTGTATTTGGCAAATTGCAGAGAAGAAGACCAAAGTTGGACTTTGGGCTAATGCAGAGCTGGGCTTGGATGCTAAGCTTTCTCACCCAGGGACAGGGTTCTTGGCATTGCTGTACCTATCAGAGCTTCCTAGGCCAGCATTATTTCTTGAGTTTCCAAATGCACACACTGAACCCTGAGGAGACATCTTTTTTTGTGGTAATTATTTTTATTTTTCATGATTTTTACAGTTGGTTAAGGTGATAAGGGTCAAGGGCTGCAGGAAGGTGGGTGAGATTACCATTTCCACGTTCTCTTTTCTTCCTTCCTGTCTCTTGAGGAAGGGGAGCGATGAGGGGAGAAATCACACCCAGCCTCCTAAATGCCTCTGATCCCTGGGATGGAGGACAGCCACCCAACACCACCCCATGGTTCCCGACGTGGGGCATGCTGTAAGGGTCCTGCTCAAGAGGTTTTAATAGCTCAACAGTTCTGAATTACTGCTAGTCTCACCACTCCAACCACGATGAAATATCTCCAGGGCTCATTGCCAGGCAGTTGGTAGATGAAGCCAGCACCATTGGTGCTCTGGCCACCCACAAGCTCAGGATTTGCCCACCACTTAGCAGCAGTGGACAGGGAGTTAGGATCCCCAGCAGGAAGCCTGACCCAGCATGGATTCCCCCAGTCACAGCCATGTGGCTAGGAGATTCAGACATGCCTACAAGCAGACTCACCTGGATTCCACCCACCAACATGGCGTCCCTGAGGAGCCATCTTAAAGGAATGGATACATAACCATTCTCCAAATCATTCCTTACAGCCTGTTATAGCTGTGACACTTGCTCTGGCCTTGATATCATGATTAACACAGATGCAAGAAGAGCCCTGCTGGTGACCCATAGCTCATGGGAGAGACACCTATAACCCCAAGTCACCTGTGGATGTATGCATCTTAGCTACCCCATCACATACAATCAGAATTAAACCCAAGTCCCTGACATGTTGGGCATCCCAAGTTGGACTGTTGACTGTTTCCTGTCACTCACAAACCATGACAATATTGGTTCCTAGTATGTTAAGATTTATGTGTCAGTCCTTACCTGGTAGCCTAGCAGCTAAAGTCCTTGCCTTACACACACCAGGATCCCATGTGGGTGCAAGTTCTAATCCCAGCAGCCCTGCTTCCCATCCAGCTCCCTGCTTGTGGTCTGGGAAAGTAGTTGAGGACGGCCCAAACCAGTGGGACCCTGCACCCACATGGAAGAGGCTATGGGCTCCTGGCTTCAGATCGGCACAGCTCTGGCCATTGTGGCCACTTAGGGAATGAATCAGTGGATGGAAGATCTTCCTCTCTGTCTCTCCTCTTCTCTGTATATCTGCCTTTCCAACAAAAAATTTTTAAAAAATTTAAATGATTTATGTGTCAGTTTGGCTGGACTGTCTCTCTTTTCCCCCACCCCCATTAGTCTAGGTGTCATTGCGAAGACATTTTGCAAATGTAATTAAATCTAGCAAGGGTCAGGAACCTTTTTCTTCTGCCAGTGGTTATTTGGATGTTTATAGTATCATTCATGGGCCATAAAAAATTATCAACGTAAAATGTAGCTTGCTGTTGATTTATTGCAATTGGAGTCCCTCCTGAGGTTACTTTGATAGAGGGATTTCATAGGCCTTATCCTGCTGGTGGGCCAGATAGTCCTCACTACAATATAGCGAGTAGGTTTTGAAGAAAGGAAATGATGCTGTGTAATGGAAATGGGCATCCAATTAGTTGGAGGCCCTAAAAGAAACAGGTTTGTTTTTTTTCTGAAAAAGAAATTCTGCCTGAATACTAACACATAAACCGCACTGCCTATGTTTGCAGCCTTCCAGCCTGCCTAACTGACCAGCTGGGCTGCCACAGTCCTGTGAGCCAGTTCCAACCAATGAATAGATTGGTTGGTCAGTACATCTCCTCTTGGTTCTGTTTTCCTGGAAAAGCCCCAAGTGAGGCAGTTCCTCAGACTGGTGAGGATTCCTCTCCTCCTCTGGCCTCCACACGGAGGCACCAGTATGCCACCTGGCTGCTCAGATCTGATTTATAACAGAGGGCCAAATGGAATAAAAAATAAGTGCTGGCATGAGCAGCTTGCACTGAGCAGAACTGACAGTTTGTGCATTTATTCAACAAATATTTATTGAGTGCATTCTGGGTGTGAGGCACGTTGCTTCAAAAGTCTCAGAAAGTCTGCTCAGGAGGGAACCATCCTGAACTGACAAAACCAAAGGAGCTTGGATGAGAGCAGACTGGAAGCACGCTTAGCTGTACCTGAAACAAAGGAAGTTATTGCAGCAGATGTGAGGCTAAAGGGCAGACTGGCGAGTTCAACAGGAAGGCTGAAATCTAAAATGACATAGAAAAGTGATCACTTAATGTAATAGTGAGGATGTAAACAGGTTAAAATTCAATATCAGATGTTTATTATTTAGTTGACTTTCTCTATTTGCTAGCTATCTGTGTGCCAAAATATGGTTAATTTAATCTCATTTTAAAAACTGTAAGGATGTAGACGCTCTGAATTCTGTGTCTGTAAGATTACCTTGCTGATGAGTACTGGTTACCAAAAGGTGAGCATCTAGTGGCAATCAAACCTGTGTGCATGAGAGTGAAAATAACAAACACCAAGTGTGGTTGCCTAATGAAGAACCATTGCCAAATCTCCCAAATAACCAAATGATAGCAAGTGTGTTTCTGAAGTCTAAAGACAATTCTAAGATTATCCGGGCTTTTTCATTAACATGGCTCTTTGAGAGTCTGTGATGGGATATTTTCCTGTATCCCAATCTCACAGCAGCCTTAGTTTCTGCTCAGACATCCCTGAGACCAATGTACGAGGGATGCTTGACTCTGTTTACTCCCTATTCTGTGTGGCCCATGGGCTTTTTTTGTTGTTGTTCATCTGTCCATTAAAAAAAAAATCTTTATCTCTCTCTGAGTAGACCCCAGTGAGAGATGCATTAAGGAGAATACTATGCATGTTTTATGATATGATTTTTGATGTGGAAAGTGTGTTAATTGTACCAATATAGTATTTATGGAAAGGGAAGGTAAAGGAAGTAAAGAAGGGGAGGGAAGAGAAGGAGTGTAGGAGGGAAAGAAGGAGGGAGGCAGGCAGGGAAAGAAGGAATGAAAGGCCCAAAACATTAGTGACCTTTGGGCAGTGAGCACCATTCCTTCCTTTGTGGCTTTTGGGTAAGTAGCCCTGAGCTCCAGGAACCTGGGTTTCTGCTATGTGGCTCTGCAAGATCAGGGCATGGGATCAATGATATAAACTTGTATTCTTCCTTTCTGGCCCTAACTCACATTGGTCTTAAGAACAAAAAGAGAGGGAAGGCAGATCTGTCAGGCAGCCTAGAGATAACTGCGTAGGCCTGGCCACAGATGCCACCTAAACTCAATGCTGTCTCCCTCCGGGTGTCTATACATCCATTTACCACATAGTTTTCGACCTGGGAAGCTGTCAGAAGCCTTGGCTGGTGCTGAATGAGTACCCAGGTCATTTGTATGTGGCCTGGGC